CAGTTAATGGTGACACAGTTCATCTAAAGTGTACGACGGTATATTTTGTCACTATACGTTATCGATGGCTAGGCGTGAACAATAAACCAACACATATTTTTGATTTGGTAAGTGTGGTGAGTAAATATATTAGAATTCCGAGATATTTTCAGACATTTTATACATGCAGTTAACCAATTCAAATTGTATTGTCATATTTTGCCCGTGAATAAAAAAAATTACATGCAATATTTATGGGTTGGATGTTTTATAGTTAATTTTATGGAAACTTGAATTGAAAGGTTGACATGTTAAGGTAAAATAGTTTACATGGACTTAAATTTCTGACGGGCATCCAGGAATACAAGTCCGCCTCGGACTACTCATCCTAGGCATAGGACATACAGTCCTAAGGAAAATATGTCCGATGGACTTATTTTCCTAGGTATGCAAGTCCCTGAACTTATTTTCCTAGGACTTAGAGTCCGACGGACCTGCATTCCTAGGAAAATAAGTCCATCGGACATAATTTAGCGTGGACATGTGAAACTGTCACACCGGAAGTATATTGAACGGATATGATAAAAATGATAAGGTATAATACTATGTAGGTATGCTAATATAAGGTCAATTATCGATGCGCTATCGTGTGCTACCAGCTCCCTTATTAGACGTCCTAGAGATTTCATACCATGAACTAACATGGTAATCAATGAAAGCGCGTACACTCTTGATACGCATCATAAATTTCATAGGGTATACGTACATTTACAGATAACTTGTAATCGCCATGGGAAGTAGTCCATCTAGAATTGACTGCGGTCACATCGTGATCGTGGGTGGGGGATACGCGGGTGCAAATTTAGCGTACCAACTGAAAGACAGAGCTGACATCACGATTATATCGGATACTTCGTATTTCTTTCACAAATTGGCAGCATTACGTGCCTCTGTAGAAAAAGGTAAGTTGCGAGGTTAAGGCAGATCTGCGTGGTGAGATTTTTTTGCAATTTTGAAAGAAAGACAGCTCAATTTTTAGTTATTCATACATTCTAAAGAATTATCAACCCTCAATTAATAAGCTAGGTATAATCTAATGCACATTTTGTGCAAAAATAAAAGGTGTAGACCATGTGTGGAATGAGTTCTGAAAATAGCACACGGTCATGAAATTTTATCAAAGTACAGACTGCCCTTAACAAGCCAGTCCTACTATAATATATTTCGATTTAACTCAATACATTTAACAATGTGCAATTATGATTCTTGCTGCCATCTTCTGGACAATATTGATATTAATGAGATATACAAGCCACAACATGGTGAATATTAACACCAATTGATATTGTAGGCAATATGTATTAGACCATATAGTTTTCACGATATAGGCCATCAGGTTCACCCCAAAATTTAGGTTATCGGTACCAAGTTAGGGGAATAAGCCTCATTGTGATTTTTGGCAAGTTAAATACCTCTAGAGTAAGAAATTATATGATAGCATTGCAGGAGTGGCAGCTAAATGGGTGTTATCACCCATTTTTCAAAATGGCCGCCGGTGCACTTACTACCAAATAAAAGAAGTTATATCTAAGCATACTGAGAGACAAAAACAGTGATTTTGAGGTCTATTTAAGGCTTTTAGGGGTCATGGATTTCATTTAAGTCAAAATCTAAGTCATCAAAGAATTGGAAATCCAAGATGGCCCCCAAAATGGATGTCAAAACAAATATGTCACTATTAATATAAGTTCAAAATGCTAAAAGAACTGTTAAAAGTGACTTTGGAGACCATGAAAAGGTTTTAGAGGCTAGGGATTTTATTTGTCTCTAAATCTAAGTAATCAAAAAAAAACTTTACATAGAAATCCAAAATGGCCACCAAAATGGATGTCAGAATGAATACGTAACTATTTATGTAAACTCAAAAAACGGTTGCTTTTGCAGACCATGGTAAGGTTTTAGAGGTTAAGGATTCCATTCATGTGTAAATTGAAGTGATTAAAGAATACCTTTATATAGAAATCTAAAATGGCTGTCAAGATGGCTGCAAAAATGAATTTATAAGCACATAGAAAAATTAGAATAGTCATTTTATAGAAATCTGAGACTGGGTTTCAGGAGAAAATGGTTTCAATTTACTAGCCTTTACTTAAGTTATCTTAACCTTTCCTCATATTAAAATCCGAAATGGTCACCAAACTGGCTGCCAAAATAAATTACCACATTCACATGGAGCATGACACAACCATCTAACCTAGTTCCTTTATTGCCATATTTAAGTTCACAGGCCGCAGACCTATAGTTCTCTCAACATGATGTTCCGAGAAGAACATTGGAAGCCTTTAAAGCCTACATGCACTGGAAAGTGTCTCACCTTCCACCCTTTACACCTTACTTTGTCAATGAGGTCTTGTAGACTTGGATTGAGTTTGTCCTTTCTTTACAGACCTCGGGCAGATATATTATATTGGCCTTGGGATAATCCCAATATCCTGAACCTCATATAGGATAATCTCTATGTACCAACTCCCTACATTGCTAAGGTCAATAGCTTTCATCCACTTTTCTAGTTCTCACAGATGCTGTTGTTGGGACCCATCAAAATATGTTGTCAAAATATATTCAATTCTCTCATCATGGATAGTGTGAAAAATTTCACATTAGCTTCATTTTTTATTTTGCTCACAGAGTCTGGTTAATCTAGAGATGAAGCTCTCTTTTCAGAAGCGAAATCGAATTAATGCAAAGGATATTCCTTTGTATGCCACTCAGTTGAAAAAATTCCTGGGATTGCAATACATACATCTCATCTTCTCCAAGAAGCTTAAAATCCGTTATGCTCCAGGGAATGACTAGGTCATAACATTAATAATGATGTCCATAAAGGTTTGGCAAGAAGGATGTCTTGTATCATCATTCCCTTTGAGACCTCCATATTAGGACTCTTCTGCTTTCATAAACCAGTTCATCGTTTTGATGAAGAGAGTACAATTGAGATGGTACATCACATCAGGGCCATCTTTGATATCCAAATGAATATGTTCCAAAATTAATTATTCATTTTGGCAGCCATTTTGGTTGCCATCCTGAATATCCAAATAAAATAATTATTTGATGACTTAAAGCTCTCAACCATTGAAACCTAGCCATTAAAGTTCTCAACCATTGAAACCTAGCCATTGACTTAAAATTCTCGACCATTGAAACCTAGACATGGTCTCCAAAATCACTTTGTAATTGCTCATTGAGCTTGTATTAATGGTAACTTATTCATTTTGACAGCCATCTTGGATTTCCACATCGAGTTATTCTTTGAAAACTAAGACAATAAAATCATTGATCCCCAAACCCTTTCATGATCTACAAAACTACATTTTAGCTATTTTTGAGCTTACATAATACTTACATGTTCGTTTCGGCACCCATATTGGTGGCCATTTTGGTTTTCTATGAAAAGTAATTATTTGATTACTTAGACTAAAATGAAGCATAAGTGAAATCATTAACCTCTAAACCCTTTCATGATCTATAAAATTGCTTTTTCTCTGTTCTTTGAGCATGTATTAATACATGTAGTTACATATTCCTTTTGGCACTTATTTTGGCGGCCATCTTGGATTTACATATAAGTTAATCCTTTGATGACATAGATTTAGACATGAATAAAATCCTTAGACTTGAAAACCTCTTCTAAAACTCTTCAAAATCATTTTGAAACGTTTTAGCTTGTATCATTAGTTACATATTTGTTTTTGAACCAAAGTTGGTGGCCATCTTGGATTTTCATATGAATTTTTTTGTTTTGATGACTTGAATTTAGGCATAAATCCCATAAACCCCTAAAACCCAGAATTAGACCCTAAAAATACTGATTTTGCCTCTCAGTATGCTTCGATATAACTTCTTTCATTTGGTAGCAAGCATACCGGCGGCCATTTTGAAAAATGGGTGATAACACCCCTTTAGCTGCCACTTCTGCAATGCTATCACATATTTTCTTGCTCTAGGGGTGTACACCTTCCCAAAAATCACCATGGCCATTATTCCCCTGATTTGGTACCGACCAACCCCCCAGGCTGATCGCCTAATATCACAAAATACAAAAAATGCAAGTCATCGCTCTGACTTAAAATCAGCATGTAATTTAGGACACTATACGTTCAGTTGTGATTTACAAAAGCTGGCAAAAAACCAATAATGAGATATAAAGCTTACCGATATAAAAAATAACGAGGTTAAAAGTGAGGCGGTACTATAGTTGAAGTATCTGGTTAGTAAAATATTTATTACAGTCTCATACTGTTAACATAATACCTACAAAATGTCAAAAAGCATGCAATGAATAATACAGTATGATATACTTCAAGGCCCCATATAAAGTTTAAACCACTTTGGCTTATATTATAGTCCAAGCCTAATTCATATATCAAAATGTGCAATGTGAAACTTTCCAATTTAATTCAAAATGTTGATTGGGACAAGGCGTGTGTTGTTAAAGGATTTAAGCCCTGAACTCATTGCATTGTTTGCTGAATCATACCATGAAGGTGTCGTTTCCAAACCTTTGCATGACCGCGCAGCTGGAATCCAAAGTTTAGGAAACAACGCCTGGGTGGGATGAAACAGCTACAATGCATTGAGTCTTAGGTTTAAATTCTTTTAAAACATTGTTATTTTTTCTATAAAATCATCTAAAAGGAACGAAATCACTAAAATAACGCATTTTCAATGTTTTTTTGCAAGGGTTAAGTTGGCAAGTCATCAAATCCAATGTGAAAAGTCCATTCATCACCATGACAACTAGTGATCTTGCATGTGTTATTGATATTTCACACACTGTTCATTATGTGAATACTCTGTTCGGATTGGCTGGAATTGGACACACCTTGCCTAGCTATATGTGTGTACATGTTTTTGTCTTACCATAAATTCTACCAATTTCTATCAATATGAAAAATATCCCCATCCTTAACTTCATTTTTCTGAAAATAGTTAAGTGGAGTAAAATCATGAGATATTTATATTAATTGACTTGAGCTAATAATTAAAATAATTTAAACTTGTTGTGAGTGATAAAGGTCCAAAACAAAACTGTATACTTATATGAGATAAGTGCAAATAGCTTAGACGAACTGTACATCTGTACACTAGTCGCTACTTTATCACACCGCTGTAAATAGTCTGTGATACAAGATGGGCTTATTTGAATACATATTCGATTATATGTATTACATGTATAATATTGTGCAAAACATGGGAACTAGCTATAGCCAAACTAGGATTAACTGCGGTCACATCGTGGTCGTCGGTGGAGGCTACGCGGGTGCAAATTTGGCGTACAAATTGAAAGACAGAGCTGACATCACGATAATCTCGGATACGCCGTATTTCTTTCACAGCCTGGCAGCGTTGCGCGCCTCTGTAGAAAAAGGTTAAGATATACAGCTTCTGCTATACTTCAAAGTACATTTGTATTGGCGTATGTAAGCTATAAGATGAGATTATTTTTTAACCGTGGGACAGTTTGACTTGTATATTTAGGATATTGCATAACATAACGCAATATCTGTATGCATATAAAATATTCTAAAATTAATTCAACCATTGAAAGTGAGTGATCTTGAAAATATTTTTAGAATTTTACTTCATGGTGCAGATGGTGTATAGACAGGTTCCAATTCAAATAATTCAAGTTTTTGAGGCATTTTTTAGAAAAAGCAACAGACCTATTCTTACTAGATCAGTTTTTCATGCTGAAAAAGATATTAAAAGATGACAGCTCAACGGGGTGGTCACGACACTGAATTTTGGCATTTTTACCCCCCTTGGAAAATATTCTAGGGGGTACTATGAAACTAGTTCATAACTCAAAGGATATATGAGCTATTGTTCTGAGTTGTACACCATACATTGCTAGTACAAATATGAATACTGTCCTAAATTTATAGGTTGATACCCTCATTGGTCTCAGAAAAAATACAATAAACAGGAAAAAGATACGCAATTTTTGTCTTGCCAATTTTATATTTGTAGCTTCAAGCAAAATATGACAGCTTTAACAGCTTATAGTAGTATTCTAAAAACATTTCCAAGCTATGTGCGGTATTGTAATACATCTATTTAGTTATGAAGTACTATTGTGTAATTTTAATATGACTTTATAGTGCCCTACCCCTGGAAAATTGAAGAAAGTGGATGTGGTGAATTTTATCATTTCGCAGCATTAAATTAGAAACATGTATTGATAGACACCAAATAAATTAATTCATACCATCATCAAATGTTAGGTGGCATTCTAATTCATTTATTACTAGAATATGGGACTTAAGATATTTTATATGTAAGTTTTCAATTTAGTACATGTATCATAATGAAATCTAGTGTAATCACATACTAGAGAGGTTGGCAAACAGTCTGGACATTGACATAAAGTCTAAACATTATAATCATCAATTGATCTCATTTGAGCAACTAGACTATGGTGGTCATCATGCACAAGTAATGTACTACAGTGTCCCCATGTACTAGGGCACGAGTCATTTGAGCCATATACGTATACCTCCTGGTATATACCTTTACAACCCATTCAGAAGGGTCATTTACAATGTGAAAAACATGGCAAAAGTTCCGTAAAACTGTTAGTTCTCATCATATGACCATATAGCAGAGTCCTCATTAAGCCATGATGCATATATCACAGCCAGATGTTAGAAAAGTAGCTAAGAATCTTTTTTATTAACCAAAGATGACTTTCCCACCGATGGTGCCTCACTTGTATAACTTAGTGTAACTTATTTATTATTATTTGAGAGAATTTGCACATTTCCCCCTTTTTACACTTTGAATTTTAAATAACATTACCAATTAATAATATATTGTGGATCTTTTGGGAGATATTATATTTGAGATTGTAAGAAATACATTGGTAGGTCAACTGTACATGTTGCTTTCAATTTTGTTTACTCTTTATAGATCTGATTCTGCATTTAAATACCATAACTTCAGTTTACTTCAACTGTCATGACTAAAGCATTTGATAGTATTTACATAATAATGTTATAAAGGAGCATGTAGGTAATTATCGCAAACAACTTCAGACAATTCTAACTTGAATTATGAATATTTTCTGACCATGAACATGGGTATATCCTTTAGATCTATTCATTATCTTCAAGAAAAGTAAATATAATGATTAATCAGACCTAAGTGATATTAAAGGGAATGGCCCGATCAACATACTTTTTACTAAAAATGTTGACCTAATTTTTACCAAAGATGCAACCTTTAATTATATTGTTGAATGCATAATTAGAATATGCTTTGGGACATGTTCTATTTCCTAAGAGGAAAAGTGGATTGCTCCAGGGACTTTGAAACACTGAATTTGGATGACCAAAATGAACTGAAACCAATGGATAGCATGATTTTTTTCAAAGGGGAAATAACATGGGGAACACTAATCTTAGGGGAATTCAGTTTTCTTTTCAAGAGCTATTTGATACATTAAAATAAAGAATAGTAATGCATTTAACATTGTTAAAATGATTGCATTTTTGGTGAAAATGAGGTCAACAACTTTGATAAAATATATTGATGGGTTGATTGCTAGTTCTCCGAGTCCGATTGATTTTATTATCCCTGTATACCTGTCTACATGGTCAGAAAATAGTCATAATCAAAGATACAACTGTCTGAAATTGTTTGTGATAACTTACCTGAACCTTTCCAGGTCAAATCAGGAGTGACAAAATTTCCACCAAATTTTTGACATGTCTTCAAATACGATAGTATTTTCTTCATAAGATAGAGTGCCACTTGTGAAATTTATTGATTGACCTGAGATCGTACCATATCTTTATGACATAGAAGCGAAATAGCCATATTGAACTTTATACAATTGTTGACCTCTCCAGAGGTCAACCGGCAAAATTGTATACCGAGACTGTAAACCGAGAAACTACTGTTGACAGAGACCGAAGATCGAGGTCAACAGTGTTGCAAGTTTTACAGTCGAGGTATATGATTTCGACGGTTGACCGAATGGAGAGGTCTACAATTGTTTTGTTAGTCAGAAGAAACTAATAATACTCATATATACGACAGTCATCAATCATGGCTTCTTTTCACAATCTTTTCTACGAACCTGCACGCCAGCAATAATTTTTAAGAAAATCTGAAGACAGTGGAAGCTAAACTCTCTGTTTTCGGCACATAACTGCGTACTCGCTAGTAAATTAATGTTAATTTTGCGTTTCTATTTGTATTGTTGCTATACTCGTCGTGTAGAAAAGTCAAAATATCACTTTCATCAACGTGTACAAAATGTCCGACTACCATGTTTTTTCTGTAAACATTGTGACGTCATATTTCCCATAATTCACAAGTGTAGTACAGTAACATACGCGGTCAATAATATGATATCCCATGATGCACAAGTGAGGTACAGGCAAAAATGTTGACCGCTAATTGACCAATCAGATGCGAGTATTTACACTGAGGTACTATCAATAATGAATGTTGTTTGCCACTTTTCGACAATTGTCAAAATTTTGGGGTAATTTTCCCCCAGAGTTTCCTCATCATTGTCCAAATCTTAGGCCATATTTGTTGAGATATATGCATGTTCATTATTAAAATCTTGCCTTCCTTTGCAGTTGGAGAAGATTCGGCATAAGTCCCAGAGCACGATAAATAAAAAAAATAACAACAAAATGACATAGAACTGATAAACGTTTTCTCTTATACGTGTCAGCCATGGTCTACCAAATTGCTGTTCAGTAGGAAGAAACTCATTTTTCAGTTTCCATTTTAATTTCCTGACAAATAGAGCGATCATCCCAGGATTTTTTCTATGATCTATGTGTCGCCATAGCAACTTTTGTTTTAGAGAACAATAGAACAATAGAAAAGATTACTTCACCATAATTTTAATCATCCAACATTGTAGACATATTTAGAATTGAAAATATGAAGAGAATGACAGAACCTCTTAAAACACATTTCTTAGGAAATAAATAGTGTGGTATTCTTGTTACTATGGCAACAGAGTTTTTTCGTTTTGTCATTTTTGTCATACAGATTACCTATCATACCAGGACCAAATCCTGAAAATTTTAATTCAGTATCTTCATTAGTATCTTAAATATATAGGTTTCTTATAGTATCCCCTGCAGATTATCGGAGTATAAGGAAATGCTCTGAAGAGTGTTGCCCAAGGATGCTACTTAACAGTTCTGGTATTTTTGAGGTCCCAACCCTCTATTCATGGGAATAGTTAACCATTGTAAAGCTACTCATGGTTAACTGACAGAATGGATTGTATCTTCAACTAAGAAGACCATAAAATGTTAAAACCAGAAGAAAACCACACCAACTTTCTTCTATTTACCAGGGGTTGGGCACTATAAAGTCATATTAAAATTACAAAATAGTACTTCATCACTATAATAGATGTATTACAATATCACACATAGCTTGGGGATGTTGTTAGAGTACTACTTTGAGCTGTTTAAGTTAGAACATTTTGCTTGAAGCTTCAAATATAAAATAAGCAAGAAAAATATGACAAAATTGCATATTTTTTTCTAATTAATTGTATTTTTAAGAAACCAACAAAGATATCAACCTATAACTTTAGGATAGTATTCATCTCTGTACTAACTATGTATGCTGTAGAACTCAGAACAATAGTTTATATATCGTTTGAGTTATGAACTAATATTATAGTACCCCCTAAAATAATTTCCTAGGGGGGTAAAAACGCTAAAATTCAGTGTCGTGACCACCCCGTTGAGCTGTCATCTTCTAATATCTTTATCAGCATGAAAAACTGATCCAGAAAAAATAGGTCTGTTGCTTTTTCTAAAAAATGCCTCAAAAACCCTTTCCCTTGAGATATTCTGAAATTGGAACCTGTCTAGTATTTATGTACGATTGTACCATTACATGTGTTTATATCTGCTTATATCTACATTTTACAACCTCATTAGACTCGATTCAAAGTGCATCTAATACAAATATTATATATAGACTTGATATATTCATAATTTGACTCGTATGTCAACTGCACGGCAAAGTTTGGTTAAAATGAGTGATTATTCTTTGGGTCGAATAAATCCTTCAGCAACATAATTTTAAGCACTTTAAGTTCGTGGATCGTGAACTAATATTAATAATTTTTCCATTTCTATGTATTTTTTGATTAATTCTGTTCGTCAACAGTCCGTTCAAATCGCGAGTCCTGTAAAACAATTCCTCTTCTCGCAATTCATTCAAATGATGGTGAGGTTGCAGGGCGGTCATGGGAGTCACACCGGAATTCATTACGCCAATAACAATCTTAAGGAAGATAAGCTGCCATATACATTTTAAAATAATAGAACTTGTGCATATGTACGTGTAAGATAAAGGCACAAAGAGATTATTATATTATCCAACTAATTTTCCAGGGACTAACTCTACTTTTACTTTTATACTCAATCGAGCAAATACGACATATAACGTAGGGAATGTACTCCTATTTGACCACAATTGCACACGTACGAAAAGCTTAAATTCCTATTATATGAAATCACTGCCTTTTATCAGCTTCTTTCTAGAATTTCGAGTTGAAGCTTAAGGTAGGAAGTTGATGAGTATCAGAATGTTAAACTTATCGTATCTGAATTACTACACTCTCGTATGAAGTAATAATGGGTATATGTTACATGTATATTGTATATGTTATTGAGTCTCAAGTGTTCACCACTTTTCACAGCTTTCTGAGCACAACTAATATGTATGAGGATGACAGAAGTAACACGGTATCATGATCGCCAATGTGCTTCCATTTCAGGTTGACGGTAAGTTAAATACTCTTATCCAACGTGTATTTAGCGTTATTCGTTTCCTATTATATTTTCATTCATTCTTTTCAGGTTTTGCAAAGAAAATCACGATTCCCCTTAAAGATATCTTTGGGGACAAACTAAAGGTTGGAAAAGTCACGGGTATTGATACGAATACAAAAACTATTAGCCTTGAAAATGGTGAATCTGTCAAATATGATGTTTTGGTCCTGGCGACGGGGTCTAATGGCGTTCTCCCGTGTCAAACAGAGCCTAAGACAACACCAGAGGAGGTCCATACTGTGTATGATACTTACGTAGACAAGGTGAGGTTGACAAAACAAAATGTTGATATTATACAGGGTGTCTCAAAAATTGTACCCAGAAGTATATCAAGGGCACAGATAAACCAATCAATATTTTCAGACATTTTTTGCATGGTCATGCAGCCAAAACATGAAAGGTTTCTCCCCAATACACCATTTTTATTTCAATCTTGTCTTTTTTATGCTTTAACCCTTTACCTTTTACACCACATAATCGATGTAACGTTATATTTCGATGACAGCCTGTATCCTTACTGCTACATTGTTCATCACATTTGATAATAATTCCTGTGGAATGTTTTGGATTTCTCTTTGGATGTCGCCCTTAAGTTGTTCTAGGTCTTTTTGCTTGGAATGAGCATTAAAACACTCCTTCAAAGAGGCACAGAGAAAGATGTTTGAGGATGACAATGGCAGAACAAACACAGATAATCAGATCAATTATCGGCAAATGATTCAGGAGTAACCTTCCAGAGTTAGGCAGGCTAGCCTGGAGACCAAAGGATATCCAAATGAAAACACAGTGGTCTCAAATTGATACACACAACAAAGGCTACACTAAATTCCCAATCAATGCAGTTTCTTGAACCTCTGACCTCTCTGTATAGGGGGGCTATAAGACATTGTGAGGGCCTCCCTATTCACCATATTTGACGGACCACACTTTTTTCTCTGAGGCTATTTGAAGGACCATTTTTATGCTAAACCCAAGCTAAGAGACCTAGAACAACTTAAGACCAGCATCAAAACAGAAATCAAAACACTCCATCAGAAATATTAAATGTGATGAACAATGTAATAGTAAGGATGCAGACTGACTCCATCGTCTTCTTACTATAAAACACGTACGGTGGTCTGTTTGTCAATCTGTCTCCTCCTAGACCGCTTGACCTTGGGTCCTCATGCTTGGCATTCTATGAAGGTCAGAGGTCATTCCAATGTTAAAGTTCAGTATCTAGGTATTTGGATGTGATGTGACCCTCGATGACCAATTATTTGGTGACCTGAGGTCAAAGTCAAATTTTGGGGTCAAGGTCATTCGAAGGTCAAAAGTCAATATCTTGGTATTTAGCTTCTAGATGCATTTTGGGGCTGCTGCTTTGACCCTTGGCGACCATGATTAGGTGAGTGGGGTCAAGGTCATCCCTAGGTCGAAGGTCATCATCTAGGTATTTGGTGATTTAAGGACTTTTGGGCTGTTGTGACCCATGGCAACCCATGATTAGGTGACCCGAGGTCAAGGTGGGTGAATGTTTATGGCTCAAGGTCATTTTAAGGTCAATAGTGAATATCTAAGTTTTGGGCATTTTAAGGACCTTGAGTGCTACTGTGACCCTTGGCGACCCATGATTAGGTGACCTGAAGTCAAGGTAATTCAGAGGTCAAAGGTCAATGTCTAAGTATTTGGCATTCCAAGATCCCGTGGGCTGTTATGACCCTTGGTGACCCTTGATTGAGTGGCCTGGGGTCAAGGTCATTTATCTGACAAGGTCATTCCAAGGTCAAAGGTCAATATCAAAGCACTTGAATGATACTATGGTCCTTGGCGACTCATGGTTAGGTGGCCTGAGGACAAAGTCAATGTTTATGGGCCAAGGTCATCTCAAAGTCAAAGGTACATATTTATTCTAGGTATTTGGCGTAGCCAAAGTTCACCTCAATTCAAGAATCAGTGCAGTCAAGCTAAAGTGATCAATATACAGGTTAGCATTTTATTGGGACTGCTATCATAATGGAACTGATGTCATGTGGGGGCTGCTGTGACCCTTGGTGACCCTTTCAAAAGGATTAATCGCTAGAAGTATTTAAAGAGGACAAATTGAGTAACAAAATCTACAATATTTTCATTATTATTTTAGGTTGCTGCGGCAAGGAACATAGTCATTGTAGGAGGGGGTCCAGTCGGGGTTGAAATGGCTGGCGAACTTGGTACGGACTTCAAAGATAAAAGTATTACACTCATTCACGCGAATGATAATCTCGTCAGTCCTCACTACACTGCCAAAAATAGAAAAGATGTCCAGAAGATTCTTGAACAAATGGGAGTTACTGTAATTTTGGGTAGGTTCACCCTTGCTTATTGTAAACGCTGGTTAAATTCAGATTAATGCAATATATCTCATGTAGATTATTATTCGCTGTCATCAAAATTGGTTTCTTTTGATATTGTTAAAGGTGACAAAGTGACAAATCTTGAACAATTAAATAAAGATGGCGCTACAACAGTGGAGACATCTGGCGGCAAACAGATACCAACCGATTTAGTGATACCTTGCATCGGTTTAACAACAAGACGAGATGCCTACGAATCCTCTCTTGGTAACCCCCCTATCACACCAAACTAGTTCTTACCCGTTCTTGCCAGTCCTACGAAAATGTCGTAAAACGGGCTCAATCTGGCTGCGGTCGGGATATATGTCTAAAATAATTAGCTACTTCGTTCATAAACAGTCTTCAATACGTCCATCTCATTCGCAGTTCGTTCAGGTCGCACCAAGTCGGAGTGCAACGTAGTGTAAACCGTCCCTTAGTCTAGAAGGTCATCATGACCTGATAACAGAACGGCATGGTCGCCATCGAATTTTGAATCGATTCAAAATTCTAAATCACATTCCCCGTCCGGGAAAGTCCATGAAGTTCGTAAACAGACCGTAGAACGTTGTAGCTACGTTCATTCAGTTCGCACACAGTTTAAAACCGATTCGGCAACGTTTTGACGATCACCAGAAAATTTTGAGCATGCTCTAAGTTGTGGAGGACCTACTCGTTCTAGTAGTTTCATGAAGTTTGTAAACAGATCCCAAACGGTTCTTAGTTGGTTCCTAGTACGTCAAATCCGTTCGTGCACAGTTTAAGCCCGTTTTCGAGAACGTAGTGAGAACTAGTTTGGTGTGATAGTAGGGTACGATGCCAGCTTTACTGATCTAAGATAGAGTTCGTCTCAATTCTTTTAAGAAAAAATATTAAGTTCAGGGGTGGAACCCCCTTAAATATAAAGCAGGTTTTACCTCATATTAAAGATTGAAAGCAAAAACCACGTGTTTTACAACACTCTTGTACATGGACATCCTTTATAAACTCTTTGTGATAAAACAACCACATGTTTTAGGTGATAAAATGGATAGTTTTGGAAGACTCAAGGTGGACGAATATTTTAATGTAATTGGTTGCGAAGACGTATTTGCTATTGGTGATTGCTGTAATACCGACGAACCCAAAATGGCTCTGAATGGAATGGAACATGCTAAATGTATTGTAGCAAATTTTGCAAACAAAACATCTGGGAAGCCACTGAAAAAATACAATGCAGGTTCGTAGTCAACATCTTTGTCTATCTATATTGCATTACATTTAAGAAGGTTTGCAAACATACGATTGTATCAAGAAATCTGTTATAATTGTAAACGGGCGATGGAAGCCCCGTGGGTGGCAAATAAAAGTAACTCAAACTCCAATATAAAATATGATAAAATAAGTCTATTTCAAAATTCAAGCATAAAATTCTGTACTGTATCAAAAAACATGTATCTCTGCAACAACGACTTCTGCCACTGGGCCAAAACCCAAACTCAACTAAGTGAATGTGATTACCATAGATAGGACACAAAGCATTATAAAAAGAAACACAGCAAGGAAAAATAACAAAACTGGTTTAAACAATAGATTGTGAAACTAAATAGTAAAACACATATAAAAGACTAGAAAACAACGGGATTAAAACATATACTAATGTAAAGAAATGAAGGGGCCTGTTAATGTGTAAAACTGTTAGACGAATGGGGATTAATCATTATAAAATAATATGATTCAAATGACTATGTTGCATAATAGACATACAATATCTACATCTGTTTAATTATTTACAATATTGATATTGAGTATTTGAATGCGTTTTGAAATGAGCATAGCACATCATGCTGTTTATATGAGCTTGTCCTTTTGCTTATGAGAAAAATGCACTCAACATGTGGTTTCAAAGTTTAGAAGAGAATGCGAGCTCAGAAATTGTCCATGTACACGGGTTGTCATCAAATCGTGAAATACAAAACTTCTCCCTCAAGTCGGAACAAAAAATTTACATTATTTTTATAAAAAAGAAACGTAAACAAAAAGAAAAACCAAAAAAGACCCGATGCATGTACATCTCATTAATATCTTCAGAGTTATGCTGAGAACATAATGTAAATATTGTCATGTCACTATTTCGTGCTAATATTTCGTTATTTCGTAAATTTTTGTAGTTTTCTTAGTGTTTTTATGAAAAATAGCGTGCTCCCCAAGTCGGTCAAATCTTTCGATGAAAACCCGTGAAATAGGTTGAATGAGCCCTGAACAATTTACGCGTTGTAGAGAACTAACAATAACATAACATAGCTGACTATCCTTATAAATAGGAAGTTGCAAACCTCGTAATTATACCCACACCAGATAATGATCACAAAGTTTATGCATTTTTCAGGTTTTATCATGATGGGAATCTCAATTGGAAGAAATGTTGGATTTGGCCAAAAAGGAACGTCTTCGACAATTCCTGGTTTTATTATTAAAATGTTGAAATCAAGAGATTTGATGACTGGCAAGACTTGGTCAGATTTTGGATTAAAGCAGCCAAAATAACACGAGCCTTACAGGTGATAGGGAAATACCACCAGTGACGTAATAATCCTATGGTATTCTACACGATACCATGACTGTTAGTTTGTTACATCAGCACCAAGTTTATATTTTGCATTTGAACTAAACATTTGAAATGTGTCAATAGATGACAGTGTAGAACAAGATTAGATTAGTATATTTATATGTGTTTTTGTATAACTATGTATATCTGCAAAAGAATAATTTGAATAAAAAAATAGATTTGACTTTAAGATATTGTATGGACATGCGATTGGTGTTAAGGAAAGATTATTTCTAACAATCGTCACTATGTATACAAGATTTATATATTCTTGTTCTAGAGATCTTTACATAAGAACGTTTTGTTGAAATGTTTTCCCATTCCGACCAAGTGCGGGGTTCTCTTACCAAGAATGGATATAAAAAACTAATTTGCGAAAAGTGAACATTTTCGACTTTAACGATCGTTAACTACACTCCATGTTTTTATTATTTTAAACCAGTTGGGTTCAAAATGAACTCGTACATCAATAACAAAATTGTATTTTGTAAATCGAAAATATATTCAAGATGGCCATACATACCACATTCACAATTAAAGTGAAGTTCAAAAAAATGTTTTGTGAAATGCATGTGCCATTTTACTGGCTTTGCTAATGAGACATTGCAGAAATCCGAAAAGAAACTCCGCAATAGAGTTTACTCTTTGAAGAGAACTCTAGGAATGCATCAAAATGGCGCCAACCCCTTAATTTTTCTAAAACATATGGCAAACTATTATTATGCCATCTGCCTTTTTGGTTGCGAGCTGTGGTATGGCTTGTCTTCAAATGACCGGAAACTCTTTAATATTGCAAAGCGTAAAATCTTCAGAGTCGCGCAAGGATTTGAAAATCGTGTATCATCAGACGTAGTTTTATCCACTTTAGGAGTAATATCTATATCATATCAATCATCAATATCTATCATGTCTTTGGACTACTCTTTCATAAGGAAACAATTTAGAAACGTTGTAAGTTCTAGGAATCTCCTTCCAAAAAAAACATTTTCAAAAAGCGACCAAGATAGAAATACGCCATTTGAAGAAAAAGCATAGCAAACTCGCCTTGGCGCAAATGATGATCTTTTACTATATACTCTTTAAAAACATACAATGCTCGCTTGAACGATGCTTTGCATGGACCATTGGCAAGAAATTCCCAAACTTTTTGTGGGCAATAGGTCATCTACTAAAGCTTGCTATACTACTACACCCGGATATAAAAGATTCATATGTAAGCATTGTTATTATGTATGTAACAATATTGTCTCCCATTTTCTAAAGAAAGAAAAGCATTTCATGAAAGCCTAATAGATATCTTACCCATTGAGGATGGGGTCAAACTCTTAAGACCCGATGGACACATTCTACTGCAAACAATTTTAGGAAGTAGAATTGATTTTAGCATTAGTGATAACGATATATTTGACATGTTCACAATAGAATGTGCCAAATCCCTTTACAACATTGACATGCATTTTAAATATTTAAAATGAAAAAAGCGAATACGCAAAATGTACACATGTTAATAAATTTTTATGTATGGCAAATGTAAATAACTTGTTTAATATCCCCGTTTTTCAAAATGTAATTACTATTGTACTATCTGTATTACTTTGTTTTATCCCATACTTAGTAGTGTTATAGGTAAATAACATGCGGGGATATAATTGATATCTGAGGTGAGCGGGATATATATATATATCACCCGCTCAACAATTCCCGGAAATTTCTTCAAAATCTACTAAGTATAGGATAAATCTGGTTCTGGTTATGTTATTTGTAATTTGTATTATATAAAAAAAGTATAGGATAAATTAGTTATTAAATGCTCGATTTTTGATACAGGGTATATCCCTCGGTAAAAACAATATATCAACCCTCGGTGTCTACGGTCCCTCGGGTAGATATATTATATTTCCCTCAGATATACCCTGTATGAAAAACCTCCTATTAAATAACCTCTATATATGCTCTCCTAATAAAGGTTCGAAACAAGTGCCGAAAAGATGAAACAATTTACAATCAAAAACATATGTAAAATTCGGCAACAAGTTTACTTCTTTACCAGTTAAAATCTTAAATTTTCAAAATTCCTTATCATTAATATTAATGTCTTTGTCAAAATGAAAATGTCCTCTACTTTAATATTGTTTTTCATTAGTATTACCACGAACAATTTAATTTGCAGATGAGTCGACTTTGAATTTATCAAGTAATTTTCTGAATCGACCTTCAAATTTGTGTTTAAATTTCCAGCAGTACTTGTCCGCTTTGAAAAGAGGGATAGAAACGCCCTGCCAGATTAGTGTCCCAGTATGATGATTTCCGTTACTTGGCTTGAATACAGCATTCACTCCAATAGAACCTTAAAAGCAAATTTAAAACGCATTGACACAATTTGAGTAAAATATAACAGCCTCAAAGTGAGCTCCTTGGTGATTTTTAAAGTACTCTTCTGCAATACACCGTTGGAAACCTGAGAGGTCAGCTTTAAGAATCTATCCTCCATTTGAATTTTCACTCAATGCAAAATTAGATATTAACCCTTTCATCACCAAGGGGTAAAATTAAGAAATCAATCATGTTTTTTTTCATCACAAATATTTTGACAATTGGTTTCTATTTTCAAATCTACATTCCTAAATATGCAAATGTACACACTATTTCAATTACAAATAACAAATCTCATTTCTACCAAAAACCAAAATTCTGACGCAGGTTTTTGCACAATGGAGTCATCGAACTTAATGACCCCTATCTAAGCCTATCTGGGTTCAAATTCTTAAATACTCTCCAAAGTATAATTTAGCATTGAATTAGTAATTGTAAACCTAAAAATAATCCATTCTGGCTATAGGAATATTTGTCATTCTGAAATTGATCTTCATAAAACTAATAAATGACCCCTTGGGGATGAAAGGATTAACATTTCATTTTGCTATCACTAAAAACTCGGATGGAGGTCAGATTTTTAAAGCTGACTGTTTCAGCTTTCCAATGGGGTATTGGAACCTAGTGCAGAGGTGGTCATTTATATCACCCTACTTTGCTCTACTAAGCCTATATGTTGTTATTGAATAAGATATATGCAATCATAGACTCATTTACTATCAACTCAATCGTTTTATGATGATCGAGCAATGTTTACACAAAAAACGTTCGTCCAAATAAGACTGAAACAGGGTAAAAAGTAATCGGTGAATATGAGTGCAAGTAAATAAATATTTTTAAATGTTTCCGGTGGTTTATTTCAAGACTCAGGAACATCAATTGATTTTGATTACCACAATTGTTTTAAGAATACTGATCCACTGTAAATCAAAGGTGCATCAAACCACGAATAGTACAAAGGCAGTGATTTTTGCTCTATCGGTAAGAAAACGTGTCCATGGCGTCATGAACTGTTCAAATTAAAACCAATCAGTAAGATCTAGATTATTTGTTTCATAGTTGTTACTGGGGCGATACATGTCACACGTCACGCATGATCGCATAATATCTTGAGTAATGTGATACATTTTTTCTTGCTAAAGATTCACATTATGTTTCAACAAGATCAGAGTTAACATATCCAAGTGATTATTGTTGCTCCCTATTGTTAACAATCTTGATAAGCTTGATCTTATACAAAGGCTTATAGTAAAAGGAATTAGAGCCCAGGACTCAATGAATTGTAAGATGGTATACAGTATACAGTTCCGACGTTTTTATGCATTTTTGAATGATATTTTCTGTCAAAAAAAGTTGCAGAGACAAAAATCAGTGTGATGTCATAAAACTTTAAGGTGTGAGGTTCCATATCCTTCCGCCAAAAGATATGACCTCTATATAGTTTAAAAACCTGTGATTTTGTTTTAAATAACGCCATAGTTGGCTTCTAGGGTACCAAGTATGCCATTATTTGGTATCAAAATAATGAGGAGGAGTTCAACTTTCATTTTAATAACGAAAATAGCGATGTAGGTCAAAATAGTTCCAACGTGAGCATGTTTACTACGCGTGTGCCCGTTATCTCAGAACTGAGCAAATGGTAGGAAACGTGAGTTACAATAAATGGACGCTGATATCTCAAAAAGTAACCTCACTCCCTCTAATTCTATGTAGATCAATCGAACCTCTATATGAACAGGTACGTTTTGATATATAACACTATGGGGGGGGGGGGTAAGCGTTTCATAGTTGGTCACGCACGCCATATGTTCAAAGTAGAGTTCAGAATTTCGAATTTCATGTTGGATTACGGTACTCACACCTTATAGGTTTTTACTCAACCTCCTACTTGGAATTATGAAATTGTCGAGAGTAATCAATTTTAGTGAATCGAAAAATAGCCACAGTGCTTGGTTGTAATTTCAAGAATAACTTTGTACTGATTTCTTTAAAATTTGATATATTAGGCCTAGCTTTGTGCGATTATACGGATATGAAAACCTTTTGAAGATGTGCATCTTACCCAAATCCCCGTCACGGAGGTACAAATATGTCGAATCGGGGGCACCATAAATATCATAGCAGAATCTACGTTCGGTCCCTTGGATCGTCTGTTTAATATGAGGATCTCCACAAACCATGATGTCATCACTGTTTTTCGCACATTTTGGGTTGGGGTGTTTGCAATCATCGTTTTTTTTACATTCATGGCATATGCAGTCGGATTTGCAGTGTATGCGTTTAGGAAAGTTCGCATTAGATGGACAATGTCCATCTTTTAAGCACGGTAACCCTTTCATTTCTACACAAAATAATGAGAAATTTTAGTTAAGCAGACATATTTAATTACACATTATATAAATGCAATATGGCTAATGGTTGGAAAATATATGAGATAAAATAAATCGACAAACGAGAACGACGCTCCTACAATAATAGTGATAACTGAGATAAGGTACCTGTTTCAATCTTCCGTAGCATTAATCAATTGATTTTGATTACCACAATTGTTTTAAGAATACTGATCCACTGTAAATCAAAGGTGCATCAAACCACGAATAGTACAAAGGCAGTGATTTTTGCTCTATCGGTAAGAAAACGTGTCCATGGCGTCATGAACTGTTCAAATTAAAACCAATCAGTAAGATCTAGATTATTTGTTTCATAGTTGTTACTGGGGCGATACATGTCACACGTCACGCATGATCGCATAATATCTTGAGTAATGTGATACATTTTTTCTTGCTAAAGATTCACATTATGTTTCAACAAGATCAGAGTTAACATATCCAAGTGATTATTGTTGCTCCCTATTGTTAACAATCTTGATAAGCTTGATCTTATACAAAGGCTTATAGTAAAAGGAATTAGAGCCCAGGACTCAATGAATTGTAAGATGGTATACAGTATACAGTTCCGACGTTTTTATGCATTTTTGAATGATATTTTCTGTCAAAAAAAGTTGCAGAGACAAAAATCAGTGTGATGTCATAAAACTTTAAGGTGTGAGGTTCCATATCCTTCCGCCAAAAGATATGACCTCTATATAGTTTAAAAACCTGTGATTTTGTTTTAAATAACGCCATAGTTGGCTTCTAGGGTACCAAGTATGCCATTATTTGGTATCAAAATAATGAGGAGGAGTTCAACTTTCATTTTAATAACGAAAATAGCGATGTAGGTCAAAATAGTTCCAACGTGAGCATGTTTACTACGCGTGTGCCCGTTATCTCAGAACTGAGCAAATGGTAGGAAACGTGAGTTACAATAAATGGACGCTGATATCTCAAAAAGTAACCTCACTCCCTCTAATTCTATGTAGATCAATCGAACCTCTATATGAACAGGTACGTTTTGATATATAACACTATGGGGGGGGGGGTAAGCGTTTCATAGTTGGTCACGCACGCCATATGTTCAAAGTAGAGTTCAGAATTTCGAATTTCATGTTGGATTACGGTACTCACACCTTATAGGTTTTTACTCAACCTCCTACTTGGAATTATGAAATTGTCGAGAGTAATCAATTTTAGTGAATCGAAAAATAGCCACAGTGCTTGGTTGTAATTTCAAGAATAACTTTGTACTGATTTCTTTAAAATTTGATATATTAGGCCTAGCTTTGTGCGATTATACGGATATGAAAACCTTTTGAAGATGTGCATCTTACCCAAATCCCCGTCACGGAGGTACAAATATGTCGAATCGGGGGCACCATAAATATCATAGCAGAATCTACGTTCGGTCCCTTGGATCGTCTGTTTAATATGAGGATCTCCACAAACCATGATGTCATCACTGTTTTTCGCACATTTTGGGTTGGGGTGTTTGCAATCATCGTTTTTTTTACATTCATGGCATATGCAGTCGGATTTGCAGTGTATGCGTTTAGGAAAGTTCGCATTAGATGGACAATGTCCATCTTTTAAGCACGGTAACCCTTTCATTTCTACACAAAATAATGAGAAATTTTAGTTAAGCAGACATATTTAATTACACATTATATAAATGCAATATGGCTAATGGTTGGAAAATATATGAGATAAAATAAATCGACAAACGAGAACGACGCTCCTACAATAATAGTGATAACTGAGATAAGGTACCTGTTTCAATCTTCCGTAGCATTAATCTTTTAGATTGGAATTCCATTTTTCGCAATTCATTAATTTTGTCCTCTATTATTTTCAAAACATCCTCTAGCCAATTGCTCTTGCTATCCCGAAAGTTTCGTACTTTCTTAAGCATTTCAACAGTCGCATCAATCATCTTTTGAACTCCCTCAATTTTATTTCTTAACATAGTACACACTCTAATGATGTTATCCTTCAACCATTCATAGAAGGCTTTGATAAGGTCCGCGGCACGTTTCAACAGTTCTGCTATACCACCAAGAAGATCATTTAAGTCGTCAACCAATTCCTTAACGGCGCCAATGGCTCCCATGATCGCCGCTTTTTCAGATTCACTAAATGGCAACTTACTTTCAATCGAACTTTGATATAGATATTCCTCAATCCCTACAAAAGTTCGATTTATCATATGAATACGATTTTTATCAAGATTTGTTTTAGACTCAAACGAATAACAAGCTAATGAACAAAGTTTGTTGTAAATGTAGCGATGAATATAAGCGAACTAATGAACAAACAACATATATATATACCATCAACACAAGAGGAAACCGTGGACAAATCAAACCCAGTGGACACTTGAATTTATCGTCTTACAATTTAACAACGGATGAAATAAGTATTTTAAAGAGGTATGAAAGGACAAGGTGCAATTATTGGCAAATATCCCTATGGTCAAAATGAATCATTCGTAGGTGTAACATGAAGAATAAAATGTCATATAATACTTTGGAAAATATTAAAGTGCTCGGACACACATAAGCTGAGATAGGGATCATTTCGTTCAGTAAGGTTGTATTGACTTACATGGGGCTGTGCACCATTGACTTAACATGAGGATATCAGCAGATCCCAATAGAGGCCATTGGTTTCCATTGGTTATCACAGAAATACCAAAAATACACTATGACCTGAATCGATTGCAAACTTAATAATTTCACAATACGACACAAATGGTTTATCTCATCAAATGTGCAAATATGAAGTTTGCAATCGATTCAGGTCATACTTAAAATTAAAAGATTGTACATTTTTTCATCATTTTTTTCCCTACAAAATGGCTATAGAAAAATGCTCCAAAAACAACTTTTACACTTATCAAATATCATACAAGTTTGTAAAACCAAAGATTATACTATTATATTTCATTTTGTAGTAACATATTTGGTTAAGATGCAGGGATGCGTAGGATGTAAATGGATTTTGACAGACACAAAAATACTTCCTGGTTTGGAATCTATGCCTCTACACTTCATGATTGAATTATGACCCTAATAAGTGGCCTATACATCAATACAGTGCTGAATATAGGTCAACAAGATACTAGTGTGCATATAAATGTAATAATTGAAGCAGAATACTCATTTTGAAAAATCAGATGAATTATTTTTTTCCCATGGGGAGATCCCAATGGACGGTGTATAAGGTCCTTTACGCCGACTCCAAAAAAATCTAATGATATAGAATTGAAAGCAGACATAAGTAATTTTTGCAGAAAATTAAGATTAGAAGAGTTCATGGAAGTGGTTAACAACAAATGAGAAAAATACATATCTCAATTTAGAGTAAACACGAGCAAATTCTATGGTTTACCAAAGATTCACAAAAGCAAAATCATTCGTCAAAACTGTGACATGAATAAAGGAGAATACGTTCAAATGGATTGTCCCAAGGATCTAAAATTCAGACCAATAGTAGGAGGTCCTAACAGTGAAATTCAACGACTTAGCCAATTGATTGATATAACTCTTAAACCATTAGTCGAAATGTCGAATGATGTTTACGTATATTAGAGACGATATGGACTTCTTAAAGAAAATGCCAAAGATCGTTTCTGATACAATCAAATTAGTAACTCTTGACGTTATCAGTTTGTACTCTAATATACCGCATGACCTCGGACTAAAAGCATTGGATTTTTGGATGGACAAATTTATAACAGAAGACATGATGCGTTTATCCCAAAAATTCATTTCCCAAAGCGCAAAATTCATTTTAGAAAACAATTTCATGGAGTTCAATGAAATGATATATAAACAAATACGAGGTACGGCGACCAAAGTCGCACCGACGTATGCAAACCTGACCATGGCGTACATTGAAGAAGTCCTTCTTAATAGACTTACTAAAACGACATTAGATGCGATAAACTCAAATATAAAATTCACGAAGGAAGAAAGTTATACTCAAATACCGTTCTTGGACGTTCTTACAATTAAGGATGGGAGTAAACTAATAACAGATATTTACTCCAAGGAAACAGACACACACCAATAGCTTAACTTTAAATCATGTCATCCCAGACATACAAAATTAAACGTCCCATGTAACTTAGCGAGACGAATAGTATGCATTGTCTAAAAACGTGAAACACGAGAATTACAATTGAAACAACTCAAGGATCATTTAATAACATTGGATTATCCGTCAAAAGTAATAGATGACGCACGCAAAGCATCAATGCTAAACAGGACAGACATATTGAAACAGTTAAAAAGAAAGAAACTAAGGAGAATACTTTAACATTCATCGCAACTCATAATCCACAAAATAGAAGTATGTTTCCACGAATAATGGAACCCGTCAATAATACAGGGTGTTCCAAAAGTAACAAGACTGGTGCTGGCATTTTGTCAATTCTGCACTGAGTGTGTTTAAATTTTCACAAATTGTACTTTGACGTAGCGCAACTAAAATTATTAAGTCTCAGAAAAAATGATAAAATGTGGGTAAAGTTATGGTTACTATAGTAAGGTGACATCACAACACCCGGAACTTTTTCATGAAAATGTAGTATCTAACATTTTTATATAACTGAAGAAAGTATCCAATTCACCTATTACAATACAACATTTCTTGTTTGTTTTATTAGTTGCTTTATAGTTATGATGTTGCTATAAAACTCAGATTCAAGTATGATTTCATAATAATAATATTTATTCAATTTCCGGAAATATCATTATGTATAACAGTCTTCACAATTCACTGTTGAGTTTTTGAAAAGACCTAATTTGAAGCCAGTCATCCAACTTGATAAGGCGCCTGCCTGCAAGTCAGCGTTAAAGACCACTGCACTATAGCGGAGCTAGGTCTTGAAGTCTAAGACCATGCACCATAATCTTCTGATCATGCAATATCTAATTTTTACTTTTATATGGAGAATGGAATGCTTATCAGCGCGGTAAGATAGTTAAAGATGAGAATGACCTTCTCCAAGTCCTATCGACCCTGCATGACATGTCATCAAATGGGTTCACTCATGTGTTTGAGTCATGGATACTGAGTGCTACTCTTGTACTAACCCAAGAGGATCCTACTTTTCAAAGTAGAGGATACATAGGAATATCAAATGATGTATTTAGCAAAAATGTAATTCCCACCAGTTGTTCGATTCTAACTTTGATATAGGATGTAGAAATGCTTAAATTCTCTGTAACTTTCTGCATGGAATGTTGCCCCGGGTATTGTGATGTCATGTTACCATAGCAACCATAACTCTACCCCAGTTTCATAATTTTTATCGAAACTTTGCAATTTTAGTAGCAATACATGAAAGTATATTATGTACAATTTTGAAGACAAATTGGTGCATATTCAACAAAATGCCAGCACCAGTCCTGTTACTTTTGGAACACCCTGTATGAGGGAAAACGATGAGATTATGGATAATGTACTCAAAAACAAAAAATTAATATGCAGTCGCAGACAACCGAAAAACATCAAATCAATTGTAAATGACAATGGCCCAAATCACTTAAAAAGTGCTTAGAATGGTGAAAAGCTGCATGATTTTGAAAGATATTTTGGCCAGAGGGGGGGGGGGCGCTCAAACCCATCGACCCCACCCCCTGGTTACGGGCCTGAATGTGACTACAACCAGCTCCCAAATGTTTGATAACAAGCAGCACCTTTGATAGTGTTCATAGATATTAGCAAAATGTAATTAAGAAATATAGACCGACGAGCAGTTTCGAATACACCCCGCAGGGTCTAGGCACAAACGTTTTCCGTATGTAATGTTCATTTCCACTTTTTTCATTTCTACTTCTGGTTGAGCGTTTGGCTGTTCCAATTTGTTTACTTACCTCTTAACCCCGACTTAAGTTTTTTATTGACACTTCGGCCTATTTTATCGGTTTCACGCATATCTGCTACATTGATAATTATTGAAATTATTGAGATTACAGTTTACAAATGCTTCGACAAAAAACTTTGGCTTCGGACAATTTCGCAGACGAAAGGGGGGTGCGAAAAGAACGGAACGGCCTAAACTGACCAATGAGTGCACTGAACGAAACACTTAGTACAAGGCCGGGGATTTGTTCTCGAATATAACCCAGCTGAAGCATTGACTTTGTTTACAGTTTATAGAAGGCGTGAATACAGTCATGTTCGAATCAGAAATGTGCAACCTTGTGTCCATATAATGTTGCCATTTTGGAAATGTCAATAAGTGTAATAATGCCCCATATCTGTACGTACAAAACCTTTAAAAGTTCATTTACTCTTACAAGGATCACAATCCGTGAAATCACAATCCACGTGTCAATAAGATCATATAGTTATATTCCAATGGAGTTTTAAGATAATCAAAATGGAACTATTTTTAAATCAAGAAATCAAGTGACTCTGGCAATACAATTACATGTATTCTAGCCCGGTAATAGCCCTACCAATACCCATGATGCCATCTATTTTTCATTTATATGGACAAACGTCAATTACCCTTGATGCAAGTGTTCGTTTTTTAGTTATACTCACTGTGCACGACATTTAGTTCAAAAAGTATTACCTTTACTGCAGGTGCACGTTGAACAGTCACACTCTAAGTCAGCTGACTCGTCATCACTTTGGCAACCATAGGCTGCATCCTCATCAAGTGAACATCTATCACTGACTGCGCATTTACAAGAGATACTCTTTCCACTCACTGAAATAAGCTAGAGTTTATTGGATACATACATTGATCACTGACTGCGCACGTACACTGTATACTCTTTCCACTCACTGAAATGGGTTCAACTCTAATTGACTCTCTCCCTCTTTGAAATAGCGGGACCATTACCAACGATATGCCATGCCATGGGTTTCTAGATATAGTGTCCTCCCCATAAGCTTCGTGAATGTCCTTTACTATATTCTATTTTCATTTACCTAGTAATACTAGAGTATACAGAACTTGATGCTGCTTCTAATTTGATGCTGAATATTATTGATATTCTATTCAACAGCCATGTTGTTGATGACACAATTTCTGCTCAATTTGTGTGATGTAATTTCTCTATGATGTCATCTGATTTTAAATTGCACTGTGGTGTAATTGTATTCTAATGAATTACTCCTTGATGTCATTTCCACCTTACAATTTGCTCTCTGATGTCATCAGTAGCTGTTGGCAAGGTATCTTAGTACCAGTGATTATTTACCAACTGTAAAATGGATTCAAAAATAAAGTTGTATGTGAAAATGTTCAGTTTAAGTCTGTTATTTTGAATTTTTTCGTGCAGACCTGGAGCATCACAAGCCACCTTAGGCTCAACTCAGTACCACCTTCCTGTTAGGGTACATTCTTGTAACTCTCACAGTACATTCGTACATTACTCGAAAATGTGCAGTAGAAATGTTAGTCCGTAATATAAAAAATTAAAACGGTTACAGCATTTTGATCAGTACTTATTGAACGCCCTGTATAATGAAAGTCCGATTAATTACAACCATTTTGTTATAAAATCTGAGGTAATAAATATCCTTCAAAATCAGAGGTCTCTTCTCAGTTCAAAATTAGGGGTAGGGGTAACATATATCACAATAAACTGGAAATTGTTGGATAATTATAACCCTTATAATCATTCTCAATGACCCATAAATATGTTATACATCCTATACTTTGCTTATGCATACCAAAATTTATGTCAGATGTGATAATATAAATGTATTTATTGAGCAAAATGGTTACATCCCATCCCTAATTTTACTGCTATTTAGGCATAAAATTGTCTAGAAATCATGTTTTAGGCGGGTTTTGGCACTTCCATAATTTTTTTTTGGTCCGTGACCAACAACTGAGACCATCTGCTAACTTGGAGGACTCTTTTACTATAGTAGCTCATGTTGTTTGAGTATGCACTTCTAGGTCCAGAGATTTTCTCTTCATAAATCATCTACGTGAAGGTCATTGGCCAGTTTTGGCTTGGTAACATATTTTCCACTGAAGGCGTTTGTTTCCCCCCCATTTTTGTATTTCAAGAACCATTGGACATAGAAGGTTGTGTGACCAATCAAAATGTCTGGAATGGCCACATTATTGGGAGTCAATAATACATATGAAGTTAAAAAAGCCAATAGTTTTCAAGATATTAGCCAAAAACTGATTTTAGAATGCATGAAATCACACATTTCAGGGACACCAACAATCTAACATTATCGTCAAATTCATATTCGTTTAAGAGACGCTGACATTGAAAGTATTTGAGAAATATTAAAAGAACTCTTAACTCATAAGATGTAACAAACTACATCTGAATAGACTCATCAGAATTGAAACTATAAAGGATACAAAACAGGCAAGAAACACAAAGGAGGGCGAGTTGTTTGTAGAATGAATCGGGAGATTTTTTTCATGAATTTCGCTTATGTTTTTCATCCAAAAAACATCAATACACTTTAAAACATTTTGTTTACTTTAAGATTACACCATGTAATCCAAAAATATATTTCTCATTTTCAAAGATAATCCATGGATTAACACCCAGGTATTTTTATTTTTCAAACTTCAGAGGGCTGGGAATCAATGATGCTCAACGCTTTTGAATACGATAAATGCTGTTTTAAATAGGTTTTACGTATGCCAATAATTTCTCAAATTATGTAAGCTGAATGCATTCCTTAATCCCTAGAATGCCTATCATAATAACATTCTTTTGTCTTGGCCACTTAATATGTTTTGTTGCTGTCTGATCATCAAATCAAATTGTTGTTATTTAAAGATGTCAGTCAAATCTGGTGAAACAGCACAACATTTACCTAAATAGCACGAGTACATATTATGTAACTCATTCATAATATTTCATGCATCAGGTATTAAGGCTTAGGGGATTAACTTTTACACATAAACTGAACTGACAGATGTGTACGCTTACATGTACAACTTCCAGGATTGTAAGAATTCAAAACTTGTTGATAGCCATATTTTCCTGAATGTGACATCGAGATATTATGGCATTTATGAGTGGTAAAACATGAAAAAAAGCATTTTCATTTAAAATTAGCATATGATTTGAATTGATGCCAAGAAATGTATTAGTTAACTGTATCCGTTTTACATCCATTGCAGTTGGCTACATTATAAGACAAGGCATTCACATGCAAAATGTCAACACCTGCCATTTGTTACAGACACCAACTGCCAAACACCAACTGCCAAATGATCAACACCAACCACTGAACACCGTCCACAAAAAAGTTTGAGACCATAACAATATGTCACCACTTGTGGTGGTGACATAAAAATGATCATGGAAAATTGTATTTTTTTAAAAAGTAGGAACTTCTGAGGTTATTAGAAAATTGGAAGACAAGGAAGGATTCTGGGAAGGATATTAGGGTTATAAATTGCAATGAAACTAAAACAAAACATTCTTTTTCTCAAATATCACAGTGTATATTCAAATCACAAATACGATATCATACAATTACAATAAGGGTCTAGTGCACTTTCCATTATGATATCCCCATGAACAAAATGAATCATTTTTAGGTGTAACATAAAGAATACAATGTCACATAATACTGTGGAAAATATTTGAGCGTTTGGACCCACATGGGCTAAGGTTGAGGTCATTTAGTTCAGCAAGGGTGTATTGACTTGCCATTGAATGGGCTCCATTGACTTAACATGTGGATATCATCAATTCCAATAGAGGCCATTGGTTTCTATTGATTTTCACAAAAATACCTAAAATACACTATGACCTGAATCGATTGCAAATTAAATAATTTCACAGTATGACACAAATGGAATATCACATCAGATGTGCAAATATGAAGTTTGCAATCGATTCAGGTCATACTTCAAATTAAAAGATTATACATTTTTTCCATCATTTTTTTCCTACAAAATGGCTATAGAAAAATGCTTCAAAAGCAAATTTTATACTAATGAAATCCCATACAACTTTCTAAATCCAAAGATTATACTGTTATGTTTCATTAATTAATAACATATTTGGATAATATGTTGGGATGTGTAGGATGCAAATGGATTTTGACAGACACAAAAAGACTTCTTGGTTTGGCATCTCTACCCCTGTACACTTTATGATTGAATATTGGCCCTAATAAGTGGCCCATTCATCAATACAGTGCTGAATATAGGTCAACAAGATACTAGTGTACATATAAATGTAATAATACCTATAGCTAGGTCTGAATATTAAACTCCAGCCAAATAGAGCCACCACAATATTTCAACCTTTGTAACCCTTGCAAAAAGATTTTCTTGCAATAAAAATGTGAAAATAGCTTAGGGTACTTGTAAGCCAATCTGATTTTAAGGTAGACATGTCTCGATATTTTTCAATAATTTTCATGATTATAAATACCGATAATTAATGAAAGGGACAATATTTTCACATTTGTAATTGTATGTGTATGCATGGTCCATGTGTATGTTACCATAATTCTTTATATCCACTAAAAATGTCAAAAATATTGCCCAATTCATAATTATCAGATAATTTATTCATCACCAAAATTAGTAAAAATTATCAACATGCAGAACTACCTTAAAGAGTTTAATCTCTCACTCAGTCACAATCATGTCAACCAAAACTGTACTCGTGTTACATAATATAGGATTATACAGCTTACCATACGTGTGCAATCTATATAGCATCCACACTGACATCTTTACAGAATCATATATAATTTTTGAATATAAACTAACTCAACCCAATAAGGAGAGTACTAAAGAATTCACTTACCTGCCATCTAAAAATCTGCTAGGAACTACCATTGGATTCCTCCAAGAGAATATTCTAGGGATTATGGAATGCATTCAGCTTACATAATTTGAGAAATTATTGGCATACGTAAAACCTATTTAAAACAGCATTTATCACATTCAAAAGCGTTGAGCATCAATGATTCCCAGCCCTCTGAAGTTTGAAAAATAAAAATACCTGGGTGTTAATCCATGGATTATCTTTGAAAACGAGAAATATATTTTTGGATTACATGATGTAATCTTAAAGTAAACAAAATGTTTTAAAGTGTATTGATGTTTTTTGGATGAAAAACATAAGCGAAATTCATGAAAAAAATCCCCTGATTCATTCTACAAACAACTCGCCCTCCTTTCTGAGTAAACAGCTCATTTTACAAGCATTCCAAAAAACTAAGAACGTCCGCGCAAAATTATATAAAAAAAGACCACTGAACCAATCTGCCATATTATGAGATTCGATGAACAAGAAGAAACCAACTCATCAGAGAATCAGAGAGCAACGCAAGCTAAGGCTAACACCCAGCATACCAGTTGCACATATCACCCAAGAGATTTCACTATGTATGAATAGGCACGCTACCATAGGCACCAAACCGCACCAAACATACTAATAATGTACACAAATATATTACATTCTTTGACTCTACCCAGAAATAACTAATATACCGACAATATAATACCCCAAACCACTAACTTGTATCTAAATTCGATGATACACCACAACACAATTTTGTACAATCCGCCACTTGACATATTTTGCATAACCTAGAAGATCACCAGTCATACTAAACTAGCCCAATGCAACCTGACTCACAATTTCCATGTAAATATTATCTATTTGGTATCAATATTTATATTAACATGACCTATGTCACACTGTTAACCATGTTAACATAATGTCAGTTACATTGAGCTCCATGTTAACA